GTGTGGCCAGAGTTTGAGATATGTAGTGCCACGCATATATTCAAAACGGATTCACCCTGACATCAGTTGGGATGGGGTTGAGATACTTGTCCATCCAGCCCTCAGTTCAAACTGCGAATCACTTTGAATATTAAAGAGTTCGCCCACCCTAGAGATGGACTAGGTTGCACGCGAATGGGGATGACGGTAAGCCTGGTGGCTCTGGCAATTCTGGCAATCACTTGAGAGGGCAGGCCTTGGGCGGAGTTAAGAATTGCAGATATCAATCATCTAACCACACCCAAGGCGGAAAGCTCCATGTGATGGAGGTTGCACGTTTGCCAGCAAAAAGACCTCAAACGTCCTGAAGACTCGCCCAGAGAAGCTGGGCCTTTTTTTCGATTGCCGGTTCAAAAAGTGGGAACACCCAGGTTCCAAGGAACGTGTGCACAGGGTTTTTGGTACTTACGTTTACGGCGTCGTAACGGAAGACGCCGATTGTTGCGTTTTATTGACAATGGTGGCAACCGCCGAAATATGCGTTCTATTCAGGCGTCTTGCGTCTCTGAGTCTCTCGGGTTACGATGACTCTTCACAGAGAATCACCTCAAGGCTCTTCCAATTGCGGCTGAATTATTATTATTTGCCTATATAGGCAAATTGTATGCCTTTGTTTGCAACGTGGTGCATACCTATTCCCTAAAGAGGTATGAAAGCATCTCCTAGCACTTGTTGATAGCATTGATAAACTGGTGATTTTTTCCCAGACGTTCTTTTCCCCCTCTGCCCCATACCTTCGCGTTCGACGGCGTACCTTGTCAAGCCCGCTTTTGCGAGGAGATACTGATTGGGTGCCCTCCTGGATCGCTCAATCATGTCATCTAAGTCCTGGTTGCGGCGGGAAATCCTTTCCTTGAGGTTAGCACACGTGGCTTTTATCAGCTTCACTTGATTAAGAGCGGGTTCGTTCTAGACGACTTGCGTTCAATGTATTTTTCTACGGCACTCACCTAGGACTATTTGCATATGGGTGGTATTCTCAGTATGCCAACGAACGCCTGGTTGCCCTGAACACTCTCCGATATTCTGTCTGGGTGTCCCGCGGAGCGGCCTTGGTTCTCGCCTATGATGCTGCTCTGATCATACTTCCGGTCCTCCGGAATATCCTCAGAATCATAAGACCTACGCTCGCATGGTTGGCACCCATGGACCAGAGCATCTGGTTGTGAGTTTAAACTCTTGTATCGTGTGCTTGAATAAGTCCCCTCAATCATTGTACTTTTCCAGCCACCGACAAGTCGCGTACTCAATGGCATTCTGGACCATGGTTCATACAACCTCGCACTACATAAACTTCATGAGCATCGAGAACACACGTAAGAGCACCTTCCGGCTCCCTGGGTTTGGGCATGTATTTAGTGCACATGGTATCATAGAACTGCGTGCTGAACTCGCTGTACAAATCCACTACAATCAGGCTGCAGGGATCACGGGCCACTTTATGCTTTTCATCATGTTGATCATGTATGAAGTATTTCTCGACGTATTTCTACCTCGCTCAAGCTACTTTCTGCAGGTACACAACGGCGGCTCGTAAAGTACGTGATCAATGTTTCGAGGCATTCTGGTACACCCATCATCTGGCCTTCTTTTTCTTTCTCGGTAATGAGAATCATTACCTGTTGTTTAACTTCTACTCATCACAACATCCAGCACTATATTCGCATGCCACTGGCTGTTTCGTTCGTGATACACCCGAACCTGTGCATACCAAGAAATTTCCCTTCTATGATGCCAACCATTGTCTAGGGTATGGGTCTTGGCACTTCACCGTCGGGCCCGCCATGCTATACATTGGGGAGCGCATCTGGCGTGAAATCAGAGGCAGGAAATACACCAAGCTAACGAAAGTTCTGGTGCATCCCAGTGGTGGGTGTCTTGTGGTGGCACTTGGCATTCTTTGCGCCTGATGTTGCCCCTCGGCGCAGGTGCTCTTGAGTTACGAATGGTCAAACCCTCACTCAAGTACGTCCCAGGCCAATGGATCTTTCTCCAAGTGCCTTCTGTATCCGCTTACCAGTGGCATCCGGTGCGTCCAACTTGTCTGGGAGTGCACATCGTCCTTCCTCATCGGTTTCCCCCTAGTTCTCAATCACGTCTGCTCCAGAGGATCCATACGTATCAGTCACGATATGCCAGGTTGGTGACTGGACAAGAGCACTGGGTGATGCAGTCAGTGCTGGACCATCCGTTGTTGCAGCTCTTGCGGCCGCTACGCAGCCTTCGCAAGGGACGAAAGATCTAGAGAGAAGCGCCTTTGGTCTTCCCGAGCTATCAGATCAGTTCTACGAAGTTGTCGCTTCGGACGAGTCGAGACCTATATCCCTGCCAGAAGTACGGCTAGATGGGCCGTACGGAGCGCCTTCTGAGGATGTATTCAAGTCAGACTTGGCAGTGCTTGTAGGTGCTGGGATTGGCGTCGCTCCTTTCGCGTCTATCTTGAAGCACATCTGGTACCGGCAGCGTGCTGGACGTCTCGAAAAGCTGAAACATGTCGAATTTATATGGATATGCCGCGACGCTGTATCCTTCGCCTGGTTCCAGAGCGTGCTGACGGAGATCGAAGATGCACAGATTGACCGTGAGTCCATGAGCCCCATCCTCTACTCTATACGTGCTTAGCTCCCAGCACAGCGAACTTCTTGCGTATCAACATGTATGTTACTCAGAGCATCGGCATCGACCAACTGTATAACATCGCTATCAACGACACCGGGAGCGTTTATGATCCTCTCACCAAACTGCGCTCGCGGACATTCTACGGAAGACCGGACTTCAAGTCAATTTACTCGCGAATACGATCGGCCGTGGAAACAGGAGCCCTGCTAGGTCCACGAGAGTCTGGTACCGCATTCAACGTCGGGGTGGGTTCTCTTGTCATTTGATAACACGTGGAACGCTTACTCACGTATCTCATTGGTCTTTGTGTCATTTCCGCAACTCACTCGGCCTTCTCCCTCAGACTTTCTATTGTGGGGTGAGTGTTCAAAATGGTACATCCCACTCTTGGAAAGTATTCATCGTTTGGCATTCGCCTTTATCTTCTATTAGCCATCTGCTCTAGCCAAAACAGTCAAAAGTCAGGCTCTTGCATGTTCCACTTCTACGGCTACGTTCACCTTTGCTCAAGTGAGGATATCGATCAATTTGAACTTCGATAAGAATCATTATTGATATCATTTTTCACAGGAACACTTTTGAATGCGCCCGTTCGCTGACCCTTCACCTGAGAATCTTTCATCTTTCTCATTCGTGTCACTCCTTTCTTTTAGTTTTAACTCCGCAATGCACGGCGGTGGTTGCGGGCTGCAGCCGCCACTTGACCCTAAGAGGTGCGACCGTTGGCAGGGAAACACGCCAACCAGACGAACTAGCGCAAGTGCCGTGCAAAAGGCCATGGCAGCAATTTTCTCAGGCAACCTGCAACCCCGTGCATTGCATTGCGACACCTCCTTGCTTTCTCCCTTGCTCTTGATGGCCTATGCAGATCTTGGCTAGTGGATCTGTGTCCAGGATGACTTGTCAATCTTCACATTTCGGCGAGGCCCACAGCTCTGTAGAACACAGATCCTATCGGATCTCCCCATTTCGTTTTCGGTTAACCACTAGCAATGCTCTGTTAACAGCCAGCATTATTCGAGTGACCCATAGACTTATTTCTCAGACACTAATGCGCTTGTGTATATTTTCGACAATTTGCCATCGGGTCGGTAGACTGATCTCCGCGTTATTGCTCCTAAGTCTTTATTTATTTATCACATACCCCCTGTTGGACATTACCTTGGTAGTTTCCCTCACCGACCTGATCAGCAGCAGTTTTTGTTGTTTGCGAGCTGTACCATGTGCATTATATGTACTTCCATTGTTTTACAGTGATTATGCCTCCCATTTTCCCTCGTCCTTGCTCGGTCAAGAAGCTACTCCTGATTCAAGAGGTATTCCGAACCCGGGTGATACAGCCCCCATCGAATGGGAAGGACCGTTTCCCTACTTTAGGAATGACCATGCGACCGCTGCCCCTCGTGATCTAGCGGTAATGGGTGGTTAATATGTCGACGGCACATCGGGCCACATTATCCCGAGTAATCATAATCAGGCACACATGGAATTGGAAAAGCCAGCTTCTGCGCAACCCTGAAACTGCCAAGTCTTGAACGTGGCGACAGAGGGGTCGTAGTGTGAGCGTGAACTACCCAACAACACCAAAGAAGGCTAATTGCTCATATCTCAACAAAGCTTTGAAATTATCTGGCATACCGAGAAGCGATGTGGTAGATGGGTGATTTCACGATAGGGGGGAGCGCTTTCGAGCGACAGATTTTTGGCTGTGGAATTATGCGAACAACAAGATAACTGTTCCCATCACGACTCTAGGCAGGGTTCGCGAACTAGGTTAGCTTCAAAAAGGCGTCATTTCCAATTAGTTGAAGGGGCTGCGATTCGTTGATTCTTATACAGGGCCCCGAGTTCCAGACCAGTCCAAGTGTGTTGTACCCCGAGGGTGCCTGATGGACAACATCTCTAAGTAACGAACTATATGCCATCGCCAACCTATACATCCTCGCAAGCTAACGAGCCCAGACGATTCCTAATCTGAGTTTGGTCGATCACACAAGAGAGTTACTACTAGGTCAGAAGGGGCATTAACCCGGAGATAATGATAGCTATCCCACTATTTGCAGCCATTACAGTAAGTATAATTATTTGAGATCAACTACAAGATTGTCGAATCGCCAATTCGCATTGCCTCAACTGGAAGTGGAAGGAGCTGTAATCAGTAGTCTTTGCCTCCAACTCAAGTTCTCTGGGGAAATCATTCAGGAAAATAGATGTTATCGGCGGAGTATAATGGTACAGATGAGTCCGCACAAAATGCCAGTTACAATCGCGTCCACAATCACCATTAGATCGTATAGGAGAAAATTTCCAATGCCTGGGGCGCGGGCGCGTCAGGAGTCTGGGATGGCGACAACAGATATTCAGTAGCAACCCTGCGCTTTGGGCTCTACATAGAAAAGGCAAGCAGAAGCACCACAGTTACAGATTCGTTATGGTGTCCAGAGTTAACTTCAGCAGGTGGTTGTGTCGACGTTCCTTGTCGTCCGCACATTGTTTGGCAGCTCCTGCTTTCCAAGAGAGCCTCAAATGGTTCTGGGCTACGGCTACCTACTCGCTATTTGGCGCTCCAACTCATTTACTTCATGGAAAACGACCTTGCTCGGGGCGTTGGTATTGTAGTGGTACCGTGAAATCATTTACAAATGGCTCAACATACCCTCATCCACATTTATGTTTGGAAGCTCCAGGCTTCGGCGGTCCGGAGAGCGGAGACGTCGTCGAATTGTCAAATACGGTATAGGGTAACCTGGCGGAATACTGGCTCCACTCCCCGTTGGGGTAATTATCCCCGACTGGGATAAGAAGAATTATCCTTTCCCTTCGGGACCCGCCCTGGCCTAGATATGCGTTGGAAATATCCATCATCTTCAGCGACATACGTACTCGCTCGGCGAGCTGTGTCCTTTCCTGAGGCATGGCTGCACCTTTCTCATCGTAATTGGTTCAAATCCTTTTCCTTCGACGTGAAAAGGCTCGTTTGAAAGCATTATTTTGTTCAGGAATCAACGCTGGACAACAAGTTCCCTAACAAGAAGCTCGTTTTAGGGGGGCTCGACCGCCACCGGTTTGACCCGTTATCGAAACGCTTGTTCAGGCAGCATTAATTGCCTCGGTGCATGGAACCCATAGTCCTCCTGGGTTCGCTACTAATAAGGCGAGCGTTGTTTTATCCATTGATGACGAGGGTCATGATATCTTATACTCGGCATATGGGCCACATAAACCCCATACGTTGCATCTTTGGCCAACTGGGGGCATTGACATTTGGAGCATCGCTGACCCAGTGATCTTGTGATGCCCGACGTAATATCCTATAATCCCATTGTGAATGTCATGCCATTCTGGGAACCGGATGAGGCTCCGGGGCTATCCAGAGAACAAGGATTGGGTCAACACAGGTACATTCGGTCTGCGGTGGTTTTCACACTCGTGTGGCCTCCAAGAGCTGAATGTTGAACCATGCTTGATGGTTCAAGCATCTCTTTTGTTGAAATTGCACCTGCAGAGAGATGGCTTTTTGTCCAGCATCAATCAGTGGGAAACTGTTGTCATCTTGACGATATTCCTGCACTGCGCCGACTCCACATTGAACTTTTATCACTGGGGACCCTTCTGAAAATGGGTATGCGGAGAGCGTATTATTGAGCCACACCTCCAAATCCTCTGCATGATCGTTGTGACTCATCGAAGTGTGTTGGTTTAATGGGAATGGGGACTTTAGTCATCATCGCCATCAGATCGCTCGACTCAACCGAGCAGTTTGTACCAGAAGGTGAGTCTATTGGAAAGGAACAAATCGGAAATCTTTAGGCACCCAAAGGTGTAGCCTGGACTCGTGGTGCTGTGTTCGGCCCAGGGCTCCCTCTACCGGGTCCGCAACATCAATGATCCCTCCCCTGAGTGGTGCTGTCGTGCTAGACGGATTGGGATGGTTGGAGCACATGAAATATGTATACGAGGGCGAAATTTATTTGAGCCCAACTTGTAGATGCCTTCTCATAGTGAATGTTCTGAGTGGGTGCGCAGGCAAAAGGGGTCCGCTCCGCAGTTTTCGTACCATATGTTCCGCGGTTCCAATGTAACTTCATCGACCGGCCGACAATACACACTTTCCCATTACATATCAGTACTTCTTTCCTCATTCCCACCTTTCGCCACAGTCCGCTGTGCAAGTCAATCCATCTCATTCAAATTGGGAAGATGATAGCGATTTGTAATCTATCAGCATCGGTCATGGTTGCATGGCGCCGCCTGATAGAATTATGTTGGCGAACCCCTTGGCCCCTCTAGGTAAGTCCTGCATTCTAAACGTAATGGTAGCCGTACTGGCCATCAAGCCTTTTGTCTCTCTCACATATATCTGCTAGAATCTCGGTAAAATAGTGGCTTCAATCGTACGTCTAGGCTGGACACAACATCTCGTGATGATATTGGCTCATGAGGTGAACATGATATTGCTCGCCATATCATTTCAATGCGTCCAAGGAATAAGTATTTCCGTTGTCAGGAACTAATGAAGAAAGCTACACATTAATGTCTGGTCCCTTGGCCCAGATTCCCATGTCGACATGGCATACATATCTGAATGTGCATTCTCCCACTCGACCATTGACCAGCGAGGTAACAGAATCGTTTTGTATGCACAATAAAAGTGCGCGGTATAGTATGTACCTACTGTCTTGCTTCCATCTGCAAATTCACTCTCAAGTCCTAATTCCATATATTTCGTACACAGGGCTGCAACGTACCCTGGCCGGGTGACTCTTCATCAATATTATTAATAATTAACTAAGTTTTGAGATAAGACCAGGGCATTATTAATATCCTTCGAATCGTTACGGTTTAAGTAGCGGATTGTTTGTAGACCAAACATTATTTCACATCAAAATGTATGCTCTGAATATCACAAATCAAGGCCGGTGTGAAAGGATTTGAGGGACGAAGAACAAGAGAACGTGTTGAACGTGAGGTGCGGACCATGAGGCTGCTCGGCTGATTCCCCTGGAAATGCAGGGTTGGTTCAGGCAAGAAAAATTAAAAAAAAAAAAACTGATATCGATCACAGGATCGAACAAAAGGCCTGAGGAACGAATCACTATTGGCTGGAATGAAGTAAGGGCGATGCAGGATACCCTTATACTGAGTAATAAAGGACAAAAATGGCAAAAGAAGTCGTCAGAAAGCGTGTGGAACACCTCATTGCAAGGAGGAACGAGGACGATCAATTTTCATATTATTTTCGCATCAGATGACCTTCCCACGGCATCGATCCGCACAAGAAATCCGTGGAAGTAGTTAGGAAATCCTCGGAGTGAATCGTGTCATTATCATCATTATCATCCAGCCGACAAAATGTCTTTGTAAGGGGGATGGACGGGCTTGGGATCCGACGTGTGACATGACGTCAAGGACGTGTGGTACCGGTAGCTCGACTATGAACCATCCCAGCTGCAATGGCTGCCCCTGCGACAGTTAGGATCGCTGCACCTCCCGAGGGTCGACCAATCGGATAATCAGGATAATCCTTGACGACGGGAACGGGCACTGGTTGTGGG